GGACATAAGTTTTATGTAAGTGAGAATAGCGATTGACGATTACAACAGATAAACACATGATTGTCATAGCAAGACCAAGCCAAATGGAAAATGTTTTTCCTTTCAGTCTGAATATGAATATGTTATTTTGAACGAACAGACATATTTTTGGCAAAAAAAATCTYTTATAGCCGACAAGTTAACAAACAAAACTTGTCTCAAGTCAATTASTTATCCAAACTTTAAAACACYGACCACCAATATAAGATCGTYTATTAATGTTTATGAGTTGAAAACAACTACTGGGATAAGTATATATATAATTCCTTTGCAAAGTTGTACTAAAATTTAATTTCAAACTTAACGTTCATCGAATARTACATGAATTGTTTCATTGGTTTGTCAACTTGTGTCGATTTTCTAATTTGATTTTTAAATAGTTCGTTTTGTCATTCAATCTTAATTCCCATACGAAGTATCGATTGTTTTGTTTGATTTATTAACTTCTAGTTGTATACCCATGCGATGCAACGGGAAACGATCACTGTCTGTGAAATACAATAGCTACCAATATTTTCACAACCAATCAGTCAAATCCATTTTGTTGACATCCATTTGCCATTGAAATACATTAGCTAACAGGTACATGAGCAGTTTTTTTTTGGAAAAAATGCAAATAGCAGACTCATATAACAAAAGCTAGCAATTATAAATGGTTAGAGACTTTGAGCGTTTGGTTAACCGGCCCTTAAATACCTCAATCAGAACTTGAAAATTAGGATCATAATTTACTTTTGGTATTGTTACCAGGTGCTATAATACCTTATGCATATTCAACACTCGGTACAAACTCCATCAGATACTATAATGGTCCAATTGTCAACCATCACAAAGAAACCACAAACAAAACTCAATTAGCAAATCATTAGATCCCGACAATAATTTCACAAGTAGCAAACAAATCAAGTAGCTAAAATGATACCCGCATAATGTTACAGGAAGTAAAATTATTATAAACGATTATAAAATTAAGCTAACTACCAGAAAGAGAATGATATGATTTTAAAAGCTCAGAATAAGGATGTAAATGAATAACATAAAACTCGATTAAAGCAAACCTCAATTTAAGCATTTCCAAATTGAAATAAATGGATTATTGTGGGCTTCTAGTTACCAAAAGATATGACCAATGGACTTTGGCCAAACCAACCAACTTCCATTAAAAGTTGAACAGCATACACAAAACAACCAATAACACAAAGTACATCAAACCAAATGCCATCATCTTATGCAACCAAACCCGTAACCGTTAAATATACCAAACCTACAATTAGTCCTTCATGCGCCAACAATGGCATTGCCTTGTTCTCCGACATGTTCCATAGGTCCAATGTCATTGACTTGTCCCATATCATTCGCAGCCAATTGACATAACTACAATAACAAAAAGTCGAAATCCATAGAGATTAATAACAAAACCAAACAAAACCAGTAAAGCTAATTCACATATATGCTTCATCCCATTTTAAAAATGCACAATATGATCACCTCACCAGAAACAAACTAATAATTATAAGAAACGAATCAAATGGTTCAACGATTTGCTTACAAATGATTGTTGCTAGGATTTTTTATATCTCGTCTTCCCGGGTTTGAATCAAACCCAGGCGCTACCAAAGCCCATGATATTGAGATAGGTGTTTTATTTAGTTTGAGTTCTTGACTTGATAGAGTTTGATCATAAAAAARGCAACAAYAACATCAAGCGCCTAAATGATCCAAAGTAGTATATTACAATTACCATCAAGGAAAAGAGAAAATGCAATAATAACATCAAACCCATCAAAGT